TGAATGAACGAGTGCGAATAAAATCGCTATTATGACTTCACATACCGGTCCGGTTACTTGCCGCAAGTAAGAAAAATTTCTGAACCAAAATCAATTGGAGCACCCAAATACCTCCTACGATATTCTATTATCCTGGTAATGGATAGACATTTTCCTGGTCCCTCGCGTCATTTCTGAAGCTAGGTTGAGTACTGTCATCTCGTGGCCGCCTCGTCATTCACCACTAGATACAACATTTTGCAGTGAGAAAGTGCATAACGTACCAATATTAAGTATGAAAGAATATATATCTGAACGCAATTGATTCCACATTCATTTTATTTAATAAAAAACGGAAGCCAAAACTTATCGTGAACTTAATTCTGAAAAATCTGATTTGTTAGAAGAAAATGAATTATCCAGACGATGCAATACTTGTGCTTCAAGCGATCATTTCATTACGTATTGTGGATCGTCTCACTGTATAAGTCTCTGAATATAATCGTAACGTTTACTCCCCAAATATTGCATCAACTATTCTCTTCCGGTCTACTACATGAGCTGTGAAATTCACAATCCTCTGTAAGTTGGGACTCTATGCATCACACCACCTACCGGAATTGTAATGTAGTGCAACCTGGTGGTAGAGGGCGTAACTATTATCAACATCTAACGCCCCAAACCTCGATACTAATGTCCTCTGGTAAGTAATCGTGAAATAACAGGAACTAGCAGAATCAAGAGTAGCTTTAAAAAAGTTAGAGAATTAACCTCATAAAACTGTTGCAATAAATATCACGATTACAGGGAAATGCTTTTGAATTCAAATTTTTACCTAGGACACCGAGATTACTTTAAATCCGATCTCAGTAATCTGGATGGTTTAAGTACGATTAAATGGTTTGTAAGTTAATTAGCGGATATATCGTTCTTAGTGGGGTTGTAATTTTTGTTTAGGCTTCATATTCTTTCGTTGTTGATATTATGGTAAACTTGTTTTATTGTTAATATTCAGTGAAGGAGTGAGAATAACGTCGCTATTATGACTTTTCCTTTATTTCCTGCTCCCAACCCGCCCTTAGTAGCGCACACTGGTAGGTAATTCTGAACTAACGGAAACAATCAGAATCATAAGAGACTTAATAAAAATAAAACAATTCAGCTCACAAAGTTGGTGTAGTAAGTATCACGATTATTACACGGAAATGCTTTTGAATCACATCTTCAGTTAGCAGAGCCAAATTACTTTAAACTTCGATCTCAGTAACACGGATTGCTTAAGTAGAAAAAAATCGATTGTGAGTTAATTACTGCGTATATCGTAGATAGTGCGTTTGTAATTCCTATTTTGGCTTCATATGCATTCATTCTTGATAAGGTATCCTTCTTTATTGAAGACATTCATTGAACGAGTGCGAATAAAATAACAATTATCACTTCGAATTCAATTCCGGTTACTTGCAGCAAGTATGAAAAATTTCTGAACCAAAAGCAATTTGATCACTCAAATAACTCCTACGATATCCTACTATCCTGGTACATGAAAGGCATTTTTCTAGTCTCTCGCGTTATTTCTGAAGCTATCTCGTGGCCGCCGCGTAATTCACCACCAGCATTTTGCAGTGAGAAAATGCATTACTTACTTACTTACTTACTCACTCATGGAGCTGGGCCCTTCTGGGGGAGCCGCCAATTCTGCTGCTACTCAAGAAAATCCCAGCATTTTATGGAACCCGAAGGTTCATTACCATGTTCACAGGAGCCCTCCACTGGTCCCTATCCTGAGCCAGAGCTATCCAATCCATTCTATCTCTCTAAGATCCATTTTAATATTGTCCACCCAACTATGCCTTGGTCTTCCCACTGCTCTCTTTCCTTCTTGCTCTCCCACCAATATCCTAGATGCATTCGTCACCCCTTTTTGTGCTACATGACCTGCCCATTTTATCCTCTTTGACTTGATCATTCGAATTATACTTGGAGAAGAGTACAAGTTATGAAGCTTCTCGTTATGCAGTTTTCTCCAACCTCCTGTCACTTCATTTCTTTTCGGTCCAAATATTATCAACTCCCTGTTCTCAAACACTAATTTCGTGTAAACTCTCATTCCCAACTGTTGGTTTGAAAATGTCTTCCCTCCTTACTTTGGCACTGAAATCTCCTAACAAATTTTTCATAGGGTACTTGGGGAATTTATCAAATACATGTTCTAGTTCTTTATAGAATCTATCCCTTGTCATCAATTTTATCTTCTGTTGGGGCGTGAACATTCATGACAATGATATCACACCAGTAACCTTTTAGTATTATATATGATATCCTATCACTAACGAATTCTACCCTCTTAACTGCTGAAACGATTCTCTTATGTACGAAAAAACCTGTACGTAATTCATGACTTTCATTCTCCTTTCCTTAGAAAAATGTATAGTCTCCTGGTGGTGCGATGCCACCTCCAACCCATCTGACCTCCTGCACTCCCACCAAATTTAACTTATATTATAAGATTTCTTCTGCCACTGCCCTGAGTGAACCTGCCCCATACAAACTTCAAACATTCCAAGTGCCAAATCTCATATCCATTTTCTTTAGCTTAGATCGTTTATCCAAGGAGTCCGTCCAGGTCCGAGGCTTTGTGTTCATTTTTGTAACATACTTATCTTTTACGAAGAGTTGTTAGCCCCGCGCCCAACCCCCAAGCTGGAGGACCACCCCTTGTTGGCTGTTCGTGACTGCTTATTCAATATATTCGCAGCTTCCCTCCAAAACTGGAGGGCATCTCCTACATCCGCAACTTGAGGATGCACCATGCCATGGTGACAACGGACCCACCTAACATGGAGAAAATGCTGGGGAAACTTGAAAGAAAATTCTGTTTTCATCAGAGATACATACATTAAACCCCATAATTTACACTTGAAAGCCATACAGAACACAGTTTTTCAGTTACATTCAAGTATTATAAATCATATATTGTAAGAAACAATACTAATGTTCCCATTTATTATTATTTTCATTAGAATGATGGAATTCGAGAATGTGAAATACACTCGTCAACAAGATTAAGACTGCATTTAATGATATAAGAAAACATGATATATATTCATCTTCACCAGTTCAATACTGGGCAGAACAATATGGCAGAAATAATAACATATCTACTGAAAATCTGTTATCTGTTCATATACCGGTTCAGTAATGGAAAGGATTATATGGCAAAAGTAACTTATCTTACAAAAAAATGTAATGACTACTGACATTCTGGTAGTTACTATAGGATTCTGACGATGGTGTATAACACACTGATATATTGAGTTTTTGGACTTTATCCATCGTCCTGGTTTCTAAGATAACTAATAAAAACACGACGTTTCGGAAACTGGATCTGTTTCCGTCCTCAATCGTCCAGTGATTGAGGCTAGCTCTTTCTAAGGGACCCAACAAAATAGGTGTTTTCCTTCACCTGAGGACGGAAACAGATCCAGTTTCCGAAACGTCGTGTTTTTATTAGTTATCTTAGAAACCAGGACAATGGATAAAGTCCAAAAACTCAATATATCACTGACAATCTGGTATCTCTTCAACTTTCACTTCAGTATTGGATACGATTATATAGCAAAAATGAATAATATATGTTAAAGAAATGCAATCACTATTGAAAATCTTATGTTTATGTTCACCACTCCAGTACAGGCAGCATTATATGGCAAAAGCAAGAGAAGGAATACACCTATAACAACAGAAGTGAATAACGATGTAATGAAAATGAAATCGGTAAAGAAATTACATAAATAGTCCTACCCACATTCAACCCTGATACTGATGCTGCTTCTCAGAGTTTCACACTGAGGTGGATAACCTGAACTTTGCAAGTCAATTATAAAGTAATGCCTCTTCATTCTTACCTACACATAAAGAAGACCCATGTGTGTCAGAAAACAATTTCCCATACACTTGATTGAAATATAATTTCTTGAAGATAAAAGGCCAGAATGAACTCTGACCCAGTGAAGTTCTAATATACTGAGACGAAGGAAACATGTTTGCAAAGAGGGGAGGAGATGGAGCTCAAGTTCAAAATAAGTTTCGTGTATGTAATCGAACTGTGGTTGACCATGTTTTCATTCACTGCAACATGTTTGCAAAGTGGGAAAGAGATGGAGCTCAAGTTCAAAGTAGGTTTCTTGTGTGTGATTGAACTGCGGATGATGATGTTATCATTCGCTGCACAGTAGTTTCTGTTGCTGCACTGCAACTGCTTGTCACCAGGGATACTTTCTCCAACTTATGAAACATTTAATGATGCTCATGTGACTAGTTGATATACATATTCTTCCAGTAATTTCATAACTGCTCTCTGTCAATTTCCAGGGCTGGTATGGGCAGGCCATTATAAAGGAAAAATGAAAAAGCATTACTTTCCTATGACTTACCGATGAGACAGTATCTTCATCTTCCTCTCTGTGGCCCTCTGCCTGGCTGCTTCAGTCATCAGCCTGTTTCTTCGCTTACACCACCAAGGAATGAAAATTTGTGCGAGACATCTCACAATACTATATACTATTTGTTGGTGGTGAAGCGAACAGCCAGAACACCTAATCCACTTGAAGTCAATGGTGCTCTTGATGGCAGCTGTGATATGCTGCTCCACTGAATTCAAGTGGGCAGCCTCTGTCATTATAGACTCCATCAGAGTTACAGCAGTACCAACGTCTCCACAAGCTTCTCAGAAGGATATGTGAGAGACTGTTCTGTATGACTGCACTCCTTCAAATATATGAAGACATTGGCTGATAGCAGCACCTCAGATGTCAGGCATGTCTTGCATGCATCACAGCTGACACCACGAAGCACCTGTCTGGCAATGGAACCACTGACATAAGCTACTGAGAGCACTTCCATGTCACCAGCAGGTACTGCAGGACTCATGTCCATCTGTACTTGCTGAGCAACATGGAAACTCTCAGGCACACCAACAGGGGTTTCCTTGTCATCACTCGTGGAAGGATTTCGTGAAGCAACTTCAGGTGCCCTGAAAAGCGATTGTAGATTATCCAGAAGAGTAGCAACATCATCACAATTAGTTCCCCCAGTCTTCTAAATGCAAGGCCACTGATGATGCTAGTCTTCAGAGCATCTACAAACTGTCCCATAGTTGGGTTATTGTTCGAACCAGTTTAAACAAATAGTTCCAAATGAGTTCTCAAGGGGGTCCTGATTCAGGTTTTGGGTGTGAAGGTACTGAAAACCTGCCTCTTTCAGTGTCCTCCACACATGCTGGGCAACAGTGATGTCAATCAGCCACCCATTGTGTCGAAGAGGAGGATGAAGAAAGGCGGGTTTACCATCCTTGAGGAAGATCCAACTCTTTATCCCCATACTTGCCTTTTTCCAGAGCGCTATATGGGGACTGTTGTCACTGAGTGGGCAACGCAGTGTTTTCCCTCGGCCAACACTTGTTCCACCATTGAAACTATCGAAGAGGTTGTCAACCTCCTCAACAAACACAGCTGTTGCCTTCAATTCACTGCTGCACCCACCTGAATGGTGGGGGAAACAGAAGTTAGTGCGCCTCCTTACGTGGTGAATTACATTTTCTTTACATTGGAAAATAACACATTACTTTACAAAGGACTAACGTTATACAAAATCGTACATTTCATTACATTATTCCTCATATTAAAATCTTTGCCACCTAATTCACCTTAATCATATCACTGATAGTGTCATCTGATTTCAAATATTTTTTAATTATCCTAAAAACAGTATTTGTGACATATTCTACATAACTTATATATTGATATACAGTTTCAGAAGTCAATTCAAGTCAGATGATAATGACGTTTGTTTGACTGCAACTGGGTTCTGCGGCAGTAACTTTGAAAATTAGTCTCCATTATTAGTAACTTCATTCATATAAGAAACATATAGTGCTTACTTGTAGCCACTAGAGCACTGAGGCTTGCTGCACATCTGTTAAGGTGTACCCTTTCAGCTGTAGTGAAATCACTTTCAGAGAAATGTTTGTTGCACAGAACTTTATTGTGCAGCATTCTAGCAGAATCAGTAGTACAGGACAACCCAACTCTTCCTGCCCATACCATAGCCCTGTAAGAGTATTACATATTATCTCAAAACATTGAAATAATTCATCAGTAAACATTACAAACATGGTGTAGGTGCTACATTACATCATGTACTAAAACAGACATTAATTCATTTATTTACTTTCCAGTAATCCTTCCATGACTGGAAGAACAGTGGATATAGTAATAGTCAAAGACAACAGGACAAGTTCCATCAATGATATAAATAAAAGTTATTTATATTTAACCCATAACAATTACAAATACAGTCAACTCTCGATTATCCGGGGGCGGATTAACCGGTTTGCGGCTTAACCGGGGCTACTGACGCTTTTTTGAGGCTTATATGTTGTTTAACATTCATTCACTTTTGTTTCACATGGCGAGTTGTAACACTATTTTCGCACTAGTGTGAACCGAGCTCTGCATTCTTTGGTCCCGTTATGCTAACACAATGTTCTAGGGTAGGGGTGAAAGAATGCAAGGATTTGTGGAAAGTTTCAAGGACAGATACATCGCCCCAGTTAGTATCTTTGTATTGATCTTCAAGTGCGTTAGCAAAATGTCAGTCTGTAAAAGGAAGCGTGTTGTGTTAAGTATTCAACAGAAAAAGGAAAATGCCGTGAAAAAGTAAACGACAATATTAAATTTTTTTAAGTGTTAAGTGTGAATGTTCGTAAAAAGTGTTGGATGTTGTCGAAGACTGTGATTGAAATAACTAATTCATACTTCAGTGTAATGTAAAAAAAGTATTAAATAGGCCATGAGATGACATAAAAATGAGGTTGAATAAATTTAAATGCAGGTAGGCCTATAGTATTATGAAGGTACAGTATTACAGTACTACTTTTAATAAAATTTGTCTTAACCGGGTTTTCGATTAATCGTGATTTCCATCCCCACCATTATCCCGGATAATCGAGAGTTGACTGTATTATCAAAGACAAATCACAGTGAGTAAATCATTAACACAATTTTCAAATATATATGTGAAAGAATGCAGCACACTAATGACACAAAGTCTACAATAATGAAACATAAAAGTATACTACTAGGCATCCAGCCTATAACAGACCAAGATCGTTAATTAATATTGAACTTAAATTATTCCTTCAATGAGTAAAATAGACTTAACCTTTGGTACCTATCTTTCACATAGGATTTTATCAATGCACTGGCCTTACCAGCTATTCCATAAAATTCTACTTTAGACAGAAAGAGGCATATAGAGAGATAGACAGAAATATTGACACAGTCAAGTTTTCTTCAAATCACAAAAAATGCCGATGAACATTATTGGTATTGATGTTGTCCAGCTATTGTTCGAAAATAATTATTAAAAGACTCTGTAATCACATCATGATTATCAGTTAACTTCCCATCAATGTTTAAAAACTGTACACCTGCATTATTAATTTTTCTACCTGTGTCTGATTTTATAATGCTCCGGGTGGTTTTCATGTTGTTACTAGAATTAGAAATGAACTGATTATAATGAAGATTTTTTGCTCCTTTAACAACACTGGCCAAAATATTACATTATGTTTTATAATAATATTTCAGATCTGGCTCATACCGTGCTGAATCCATGGGAAAATTGAAGAACACCATTCCAGTTTCCTCACTGGAAGACGTGCATCTTGGAGCAGAACACTTCTTTTTCCTTCCCATTTATACTGCAAGAAACACTACAAAAACTGTAACAGAATCACAGTACACTCTCACTTTCTTTAGATTCTATGGTCCTTCTTTAGGCTACACCGAAAGATGCTTAAAATACAGAAATACGACTTGGATGAAGTATCGTAATAACACTGACATCATGTTTGTTTCTAATTTCACTGGGCGTAGCAAGCATAATCCATATACATAAGTAACACACAGATGTAAATTCATGCATAAATGTCAACTCTCGTTTCACAACATCAAATCAAAGTCCCTACTTATTAATTAATCTAATTAATTGCAGAACATACCTCAATGGCGTACACATATCATCATTAACTATGCAGTCTTACTGAGACAACGCCCTAAACTGCCCTAAACCTTCAACGGAAATTTAAGATCCTCTTGATTGGCTCATACTTATGCAATTCGACTAATTGCGATAGGTGTATTATGATCGTAATGTTGTATTTTCGCATCCTGTTGCACTGATTTTCGTCCATATGTTTGGAGTGTCTGTCTTTTAGTGCACTCAATTTCACTTGTTATTTCACAACATGATTCAGCACTATAGTGCCATCATCAGGTGCTCCATTTACATTAATCTATCTCATTGCTTGCCATTATGTCATTGTAAAGTTTAAAAAGTATTTAAAAAATGTTTGTCAATTATAATAAATATTTATATACTAAAAACTTGTTAAGATTATTTATCTTATCTGTCCCAATTCTAACACCGCGCATAGTTCCACTACTATGGGAGTCGTTCCTCTTACTCTCAGTGTATATCATGTCTCATGTTGTGTGTTCCATTTCTGGTTGCGGGTGTTGTGAAATTGAGTGCACTAAAAGACGGACACTGCAAACATACCATGGACGTATGATAGATTCCAGTCATTTCCAGACTATCTAGTTCAGTGTTGGCCAACCTAATACATCTCAAGGGCCAAATTTTGTTTACAGAACACCATCAGGGGCCAGATACAGTGTTTCTTTCAGAAGAGTGGTCGGGGAGTATTGCCCCCCCCAAACTGAATCAGTCACAACCCATGTAAAAACAAGTGCATTTAAACTTATGTATTTAAATTTTACGTTGCACCAATAATATTAGGCCGATATTGAAAATTTCACCAATCAATTTTATTGACTTCTATCACTTCTACCCCCAAAGCATTTTTTCTTAAAGAAACACTGGCCAGATCATGCCTTATGTTTAGTTTTATATATGCCGGGGAAAAATGCAATTATAATTTAAGAAAGAAAAATAAAATGCCTTGAAATTTGCAATTACTTACCATAAAACAGCACAAATTCCTCTTTCAGCAGGGATGAGCACAAAAGACTTTCAATCATAGTTTTTACGGTCTAATGATTATACCTAAATCCTCATATACACACTGTTTTAATGAGAGCACTGTGGTTTCATAAAACTGGAAACCAATGATATAAAATCCACTTCTAATTGTGAGGTTGCCACTCGAAGAATATGTGATAACACGACATCTGTTCCTGTTCTTAGACTTTACATGCTACAGTGATGAAAATGCTGTTTCGCATATGTAAGTACTTGCAAAAACAGAGCAAAGTTTGAGAGCCCAATTTCATAACAGTGGGTAACGTTCTGGTGAAAGCAGTTTCCAAAAGTCAATTCCAGTAACCTGAGATGTGTTTAAGGATGGGTCACATTGAAGTTCACAAAGCTCTAATTGCAGATGACCTGGCTGAGATTCTATATCACAATGTATAGGATTACTGAATAAAGAAATATCAGGTCGAAAGCTTTCAAAATCGTTAAATCGTCGGTCGAACTCTGAAGACAAATCTTCAATAATTTCAGTGTAGTCCCTAAACTCCAAGCCTTCTTCTTCTTCTTCTTCTGAGAGTTTCCGACAGCAAGGGAAATGTAGAAGGTTATTTTTGTCCAATGCAGACTTAAATAAATGCACCTTTTTACGGAAACTGTCAACAAAGCCAACCATCTGACAAATTGTCTGCTTCTTGCCTTGCAATTGCAGATTCAGGACATTCAAGTGTTGAGTGATATCGGTGAGAAAGGCCAAGTTTCTCAAGAATTCGACGTCTTCGAGATCATTCTGCAGTTCAGCAGAATTCGTAACCTCTTCTCTTAGGAATGTTGCTATTTCATGACGGAGTTCAAAGAACCGTACCAGACATTTCCCACGGCTTAACCATCTTACTTCAGTGTGCAGAAGCAGGTCCCCGTAAGCAGAATCCATTTCTTCCAAGAGGGTCAGAAATTTTCTGTGAGTGAGTGATCGATTTCCTCCTCTGATCAAATTAGTAATTTTTGTGACAGTAGCCATGGTGGTAGACAGTTTAATTGATTTGGCACATAGAGCCTCCTGATGTATAATACAATGCAAGGTAGGTACAGTAATTTGATTCTGTCTTAAAAATCCAACAAAACCGCTTATTGTCCCTGTCATTGATTTAGCGCCATCTGTTACTATGGAGGACAATTTTTCAAAACCACCGAATTCCTCCACTGCACTCTTAACAGCGTTAAAAATATCGACACCTCTAGTTGTACTGTGTAAAGAGCACACTTGTAACAACTCTTCGAAAATTGTAAAATCTTCCTTAATTGCACGAACAAATATCAGCAACTGATTAGTATCCGAAACATCTGTGCTTTCGTCGAGAGCAATTGAGAAATAGGAACAATTAGCGATAATGTCTTTCACATTATTAGATATCTGGTTGCTAATATCTTCCAGCCTCCTAGTAACAGTCTGTTTTGAAAGGGGCACTGTTTGAAATTTGTTTCCTACCTTATTTTCATTGAAAGCTTCTGCCATCTTTATCGCACAGTTCTTAATTAATTCACCATCACTTAACGCTTTTTTAGCTTTCATTAATTCATATGTCACGAAATAAGAAGCCAGCAAAGCTTCTTCTTGTTGTTTTGTTTCATTGGTAAAAAGAGATTTCTGCTGGAAAAGTTTTTTCTTTAACTGATCGCAGACTACTTTCCTTGATTCACAAGAGTGTTTTCCGAACTTCTGTTTATGATTTGTCATGTAATGCCTCTTTAGGTTGTACTCCTTTAAAACTGCTAGCACCTGAAAACATACTAAACACTGTGGCTTGTGGTCTTTATTTAATATAAAAAAATAGTCATGTTCCCACTCAGATTTGAACGCCCTATTTTCACTATCAGCTTTTCTCAATATACTATTTGACATGCTGTATCACTTACAATAACTTCAAACACAATTTTAATTGAAAAACAGTTCTACACTCACACTCCATAATCACACTTCACTTTCTAAAATCACACTAAGTGGGAGACATTTGTGCTAAAACTGGCACTTAACAAAGGCCAGGATGCCAAGAGAAACGCTAAACATCCCATCCCTGTGAGCAAGTAGGGAATGGTTACTATTTTGAAGGTGTCATAAATCCTTCACCACTACGGTCTTCCCTTCATTGTCATCTCCCTACAGAAGTAGGGTTGGGGGACTTGGAATTTCCATGACATGAACACAGTTATTAGAAAACTGTTTGAATTGTCCAACTCGGTAAGAACGTATACAGTTAATTGCAAAATGTTGTAGGCTAATGAAACATCCTATTAAAAACTAAATTCTATGCCAATACAGCTGTGAAGTTAAGATTTTTGAAAATAAACCTGAGACTTGGCAGGGGGCTGGAGTAAATCAAGTCGCGGGCCGGATGCGGCCCGTGGGCCTGCCAGTTGGCCATCGCTGATCTAGTTCATGTAGCTGAATATAGATGGATGTTCTGCATGTTTCCCTCCCCTGGTCATGTGGCATTTCTCCTGCCATCTCCATGCAGACGTACCCTAACTAAATGAGAAATGGTCACCAACACCGACAGCATGATCAATATAATAGAATGCTACCATTCCATCCTATGCATCGTCCTCTCCCCCTGAAACCCTCTACCATCTCATGGACCCAACAGTTCACATGAATAGCAATAAATAATTTTGCAACCATATCTCTTGTGCTGCAGATACACTTACTCTGTTGTTCTTTTTTTTTTCTTTTTCTGAATGGGGTTCAATATCACTTCACTCATATCCCTTCCAAAGGATGAGTGAAGTGATACTGAACCCAAGTCAGAAAAAAAACAAAACAAAAAACAATGGAGTTAGAACGCCTGCAGCACAAGGGGTCAGGGTCAGGGTTGCAAAATCGGAAAGATTCTCAGCAGTGCCTGTAAAGTGATAACATTTCATTCCTACCAATCCACCATCTCCTTACCCAAATGCATTGACATTGTGAACTATAACATACATAAATACTTGCATTTAGGAAAGAAAATTCTGTTTACATCAGACATCCTTCCATTTAACCTCACACCTTTGGTAACAACTTACACTTGAAAGCCACACAGAACATAGTTTTTTGGTTACATTAAATCATTGTAAATCACATATGGCAAGCAGTAGTACTGACGTTTCCATTTATTATTAATTTCATTAGAATGACATTCAGTACTGGACAGGCTTATATGGCAAAATTACAACATATCTTACAGAATTACAATGAATACTGAAATCTATATGGGAAAGAGTAACATATCTTACAGAATACTGGAAATATGGTATTAATCTTCTACTTCAGTACTGGACAGGATTATGTGGCAAAATTAATAACATATCTTACAGAATATTATTATTATTAAAAAAAATACTGGAAATCTGATATTCATCTTCCACTACAATACTGGACAGGATTATGTGGCAAAATTGATATCTTACAGAATACCAGAAATCTGATATTCCTTCCATTACAATACTGGACAGGATTATGTGGCAAAATTAATATCTTACAGAATACCAGAAATCTGATATTCCTTCCTTTACAGTACTGTACAGGATTATATGGCAAAATTAATAACACATCTTACATAATACGGAAAATCTGATACTCTCTTCCACTTCAGTGCTGGACAAGAATAAATTGCAAATATAACAACATATCTTACAGACTTTTGATTTGTTTCCTCCTGGTCCATCACACTAACAATATTATAAAAGGTAAATTATGTCTGTCCACTGTGATTGGACATCAGTGACATCAGTCACACAAGATGGAATTAATTAACCTTTTATAATATCTTACAGAATATTCGAAATCTGATACTCATCTTCCATTTAAACACTGGATGGCAATACTTGGCAAAATTAATAACATATCTTAAGGAAATGCAATGATTATTGGAAATCTTATATTCATAATAAAAAGAGAGATAATAATATAACAGGAAAATAAATTAGGGCAAGGAGTACAACATACTGCCTCTATAAAAACTATGTTCACTTACTTTACTCCTCACAGTAAAGTCTTTACCACCTCATTCTCTCATAAATCATATTACTGAAAGAATGTTCTGCTTTTCAAACATTTTTTAATTATCCATGATCTGTATACTGATATACAGTTTCAATGGTAATAAATGATGACAATCACGTTTCTTTGATTACAACTGGGTTCTAGGGACAACAACTCTGAAAACTAGTCCCCATTATTAGCCACTGCATTTATAAAAGAAGCATTGATTGCTTACCTGAAATGGTGTGTAATGATCAGAAGGTTGTGGGAGTGATTATGCTGCAGAATCTGAACTACATGGAACTGCAAATCTGTTCAGCTGCACAAAAATTTATAATACACCATTCTAGTAGAACCATTAGTGCAGGATATCCCAACTCTTCCTGCCTACACCATAGCCCTGTAAGAGTATTACATATTGTCTCAAAACCTTCAAATAATTCATCTATAAGTATTACAAACATGGTGCTGGTGCTACGCTGAGGGGTAAAGTTACACATTTAATACATACACCAGCTAAACTTAATTTCCTCGTTGGATAAGCAACACATAATAAAGTCACTACATCGTGCATTAAACAAGACTTACCGTGATGATTACCTGGCAAAGTTGAAGAGTTTCAAACCTGTCTGCCTACTGGATGACGAAAAACCTGGGCAAGTGCAAAATTTCTTTTTCCCACTTATCCTGCAAGAAACAATACATATATTATAACACAATCACAGGACACGGTGAGTTTCGAGATTCTACACACCTTGTTTCAGCTACATCGAAAGATGCATAACCTACAGAAATATCTTAAAGGAAATTTTCACTTCATATAAATTTCTAACTTAATTTCATAAACAGTAATATGGCGATTTAACTTAAAGAGTAAACGTCAGCGCTTATTCACCACATCAAATCAAATCCCATACTTCCCAACAATCAACCGCTATACGGTACCACTTAACTTTGCGATAACTACATACTATAACCATAACCCGTTCCCGAGAGATCGATTACCATCGATCCATCGATCATCACCCTTATCGATGTCCAAAATGGCAGTTCGTTCTGTGAACAATGCGGATGACACACAAGTTTTCGGCAATGAGTTGTGAAACACGTGAGGTAACGAGTACTTGTTGTCATAAATTTAAAATAAAACTCAGATCAGAACAAAAAATTATTATACTGCTACAAGAAGAGATAAACCGCCAAGTCCATCTTCCCCTTATCTGAGTGTCTGCTTTTTATCCCTGAGACAGAACAGGAGCAGCCCTATGGATAGGTGGTAGGAGGTGATGA